CAGGCGCCCCGAAAAAATATCCATTTTAATATTATACTGAGAAAAATCATTTGGCATGAAGAAGTCCTAACAAAAAAAAAAAAATCAAAACGTAAGGGTGCCGACTGGCTCAGGTGGAAGAGTCGTGTGACTCTTGATATCAGGGTTGTGAGTTTGAGCCCCACATTGGGTGCAGAGGTTACTAAAAAAATAAACTTCTTAAAAAAATCAAAATATATTTCAATGTCAATTTAAATTTTTTCTTCTATTTGAAGATTAGTAATACAGCTGTCATCTCCCATTGACACAGATAACTGAAAATATACACAGGTAATTTTCTCCCCCAAATCATGCTTTTTTCCGCAATACAAGCAATCTGAAGTAGTATCTTATATGAAAGATTCAGATCAAGGGAAATCTAAAAGGGAGAAGATTCTGTTCTGATTTTAAGTTGGTACTGACAAAAACTCTGTATCCTAATTATTCTAAGCCAGATTTTATACACAAAACCATCTGAATATACTCTCATTTCTTGGTCAAAACAATCACTATTTCTTCAACTCATCTGGTATAGAAAAAATAATAGGTCTTTTAAGTAAAAATAGTCACAATTTTACACTGGACCAGAATGGTGGGGAGCTGACCAGAGGTCGGTAGTTAGCATCTGATATGGGCTATTCCTAGTATGACATGTAAAGAGCTCAGCAAAACAGAAAAGCTAGATAGCTGAGCTCAAAAAAATTGTGTTATTGGGGTGCCCGGGGGGGCTTAGTCAGTTAAGCATCCAGCTCTTGGTTTTGGCTCAGGTCATGATCTCATGGGATCAAGTCCCACCTTGGGCTCTGAGCTCAGTGGGGAGTCCGCTTGAAGATTCTCTCCCTCACTTTCTCTCTCTCTTAAAAAAAAAAAAAGATTGTGTTATTATTTAAGTATTACATATTTCCAGGTCAGAAATACCTACTTTCCTATTATAAACGAAGTTGCTAAAGACCATACAAGTTGCTATATAAGGTCAGCCCCAGGATCCATTCAGGCCAGTACTTTGTTTCTAATCTGCAAAGCAACATGTAATAGAGTTTAGAATAAAACAGCTATTCTAAGTTAATCCATGCCACTGCTTCTATTAGTGCAAAAACTGGAGAGAGCTGGCCTTAGGTAAGTTTTACTCTTCCTTTAACATACCTTCTCTCTGGACAGAGTGAGCTATTTGAAATGTTTAAGGGTTTTGAGATATTTAAGGCAAACTCTTAAGCTGAAAGAAGGAAGAACATATGGGGGCACCTGGCTGGCTCAGTTGGAGGAGCATGTGACTCTTGATCTCAGGGTCTGAGTTCAAGCCCCATGTCGGGTGTAGATTGCTTGAATATATAAATAAATAAACTTTGAAAAAAGAGAAAGAAGGGAGGCCTTATAACCTTCTAGTGATTTCCCTGGTGGCACTTTCAGACAAAGATCACTGACTGGAATTGTCTAAAATGACAGTTCTGATTCATATGACAATCCTGTTGTTTCAATTGTGAAGCCATAGAAGTTTTGTTTTTTTTTTTTCCAAGAGAAGCGAAAGAAAACAAAGCTTGTCTACAAATCCAGGTTGAAAAGGACAGGAAGAAACTGGGCCAGATCAAGATTGTGTCAAATTCTTGGAGACAGTCACTGAGAATATATAAATTGAGCCAAATCTTGCATACTTCACTAAGTAGGGATTTTTCACTGGAGCTTTCAAATGGACAGTACATTCTACAGGGATAAGTCTCATGCTTTTCTATGTGAAACTGAGATTCTAAGAAGGAAACAAGTACCTAACAGACTTTTTTTTTTCCCTTTGAGAGAGAGAGAGAGAGGGCCAGAGGGAGAGGAAGAGAGAATCCCAAGTAGCCTCCACACCCAGCGCATGAGCCCAACCCAGGGCTCAATCCCACAACCCCAAGATCAGTACCCAAGAGCTGGAAGCCCAACCAAGTGAGCCACCCTGGCGCCCAAACATGAAAGATTTTTTAGAAAATTGGTTGTTCTTTAAATCAACACTCCCTACCTAGTCTAAAAAACTATTGAAAAAAATTTTCTGGAATTATAATGATGGTTGCACAACTGTGTCAATCTACTAAAATAAAAGCAAAAACACTGAATTTTATACTTTAAAAGAGTGAATTTTACAGTATGTGAATTAGACCTCAAAAGTCATAATAGGGATACCTGGCTGGCTTAGTCAGAGGAGCTGTCACAGGACTCCTGATCTCAGGGTCATGAGTTCAAGCCCCATGCTGGATGCAGAGATTACTTAATATAAATTTCTCCCTTTTTAAATTTAAATCCAATTAATTACACATAGAGTATTAGTTTTAGAGATAGAGCTCAATGATTCATCAGTCTTATATAACACCCAGTGCTCATTACATCAAGTGCCTGCCTTAATGTCCATCACCCAGTTACCCCACCTCCCCACCTCCTCCCCTCCAGCAACCCTGTTTGTTTCCTATGATTAAGAGTCTCTTATGGTTTGTCTCCCTCTCTGATTTCATCTTGTTTTATTTTTTCCTCCCTTCCCCTATGTTCCTGTTTTATTTCTTAAATTCCACATATAAGTGAAATCAAATAATTGTCTTTCTCTGATTGACTTATTTCGCTTAGTATAATACCCTCCCCTTCCATCCAATACATTTTTTTTAAAAGTCATTATAAAAAAATAACAATGAGGGGCGCCTGGGTGGCTCAGTTGTTAAGAGTCTGCCTTC